GTGACCGTGGTGGACGTTGTGTTTACAGCAGCGAGAATTAAAGAATGGTGATTTTTGGATTCATTCTACTGTATACAAAACAAGATGTTATTCAGTTCTTAACCCATTTAAACACACACACATGGAAGCAAGAAGAAGAGGAATATGTTATACATCATTTACTCTGAAAGCTTAAACTGGTACAGGTCCAATACTTTCCCTCAAGTTTATCCCTTTTGAGTGGTCCGTGCATGTGTGCGTACTGTGTAGTAAGAAGTAGGCCTGATTTAAACTCAGCACCAGATCTGATATCAGGTTAATGATCATCTACTCTAAAAGCTTAATCTAATAGAAAAAGACATTTGGTAAAATGGAACAAAGCTTCTGTAGAGATTAGCATGACACCGCTGTATCAGGGATGGGGGGATGATGAAGGCACCAAAAGCAAGTGGGAAAAAAATGACCATCAAAGTTCTAGCGAACTATTATATAGCACAACGGGAAAAAAATGTGCAGGAAAGACATTTTGGTTCCCACAGGAAGTTACATTTTAGTATACAAAATATATTACTTACTAAGATCCTCATACAGCAGGCAGTGGAAATGGTGCATGGCCTTTTCAACAGTTGGTGCATATCGACCACAGCAATATGCTGGCGATTCCAAGCCCCTCTGTACTGCTTCACACAATACTATATCTTCCATCTGCACAATCTCCCCCAACAAATATTAGACCCAAACAAAATATGAATTAATAACCCAAGTCAACGGAGCATATAGGGTCCATTCGTACCTGCACTCGCTCACTGTCTTGTAAGCTCCTCTCTATGAAAGCTTTGTCAGCCTGAGGTTACACGATAAAACTTATTATTCCAGCCTGGAAAGAAAATTGAGTTTGTCCCTCTCAATTCCTTTCAACAATGGAACAAACATTTCATCACAACAACCTTATGATTTAGATATTCGAGAAAGGCTGAATGTCATGATTTTATCAACTGATGTTGTAACTATTATTAACATGAAACTCACTGATTCCACTAATGTATTTAACAAGTATCTAACCTGCTCAGGCTTATTTCCTCCTTCAAGAAAAAGAAGAGAAGCAGCGGCCAGGCACCTACCCAGCATTGACTGAGTAGTTTCTATAATCCTTCTATGCTTTCTTTTCAGTTTTCAGCACCAGAAATTTAGACTTGCGAGCGTCTTCCATCAAAGTAATGGTATAAACTCATTTGACCATTGAGAACCAAGAAAAGAAAAAGGATAAACTCACTTCGAGCTTACAAAGACAGGTTTTGAAAATTTCTAGGAGTGCTCCACAACTATACAGCAACAAGATTGCTGTGCATGGTAGTGACACAGTTGCTTATGAGTAGATTCACGGCATACGTTATACACCATATGTCGGTAGCCATTATAATGGGAGTTCTGTGGCCTCCGGGTGTAGCTTTCAGGAATGATTTCTCTGAAACATGTTTATTATCTCAAAACAATAAAAAAAATGCAATCATGACATAGAAAGCGATTTTAAAATTTTGACTAGAAGAGAAAAAGGAAAACTTATATAGTTGATTCTATGAGATCAACCATCATTTTTTTTAAGAAAATACGAGAGAAATGGAAAACCAACTAATTGAACCCTGGTATGTTGATAATTTCAAGAACATAACCCTGCTCTCGAGACCTGCACTGAACCGAACCTATAATTCTTCATCTCAATTTAGCGTTTTGGAAGTGTCCAGCACAAGGTCTTAAGAGCTTTGAGAAATCATAATCCCCTATTACATGAGACACTTCGCCCTCTAAAAGCACAAAGCCATTAGTTGCCAAGATAATTTTTAAGTTTGGCAATACTAAAAGAATAGTACAATGGAAATAGCCATTGAAATTATACACAGAGCTAAGAATTCAGTATCTATTAGTGGACCAATTTAATTAACAACAAAAACCTATCTATGATAGATACTGAAAAAAAATGGTAAAACAGTTTATATCTTATCTTAGTTTCAAATTTAAAACTAATATAATATTTTGGAAAAGCAGCCTGCATTTTTGAAACAAGAATCTTAGGTGAGAAAAGCAGCCTGAATTTCGGAAACATATGTCTCAGGAGACACTACCGTAGGTGCTTGTAAAAGGAACAGATAGATCAAGTATCCTCACCTGGCACAACATGCAAGATGGAAATCAGTAGACTGAGACCAGAAGATGCTTCCACTTCTATCTTTTTTGATTTATCTTAGCTAATTATTATTTATTCCCAATAAGGAAACCATTTACAATCCTTTTAAACTGCATTGTAGATGAAATCCAAGAAAATTTTTCCACAAAACCTTGCATTAGAATTAGGAGTGAAAATTTTGACACAACAAATCAACGCGACATGAGTCCAGTTCTTAGGAACCCACAAATGACACAATTGCCAACAAATAATAAATGAGTCGGGTTAGTACAAATATGAATTACCCCAGCATTATACAATAACAACTTTCGACGGATAGTGTATTTTGAAAATGTCTATTTTTTCCATTTTATGTTATTTCTTGATATGCTATTTGTATGAATCCTAGTAAAATTAGCGGATTTTTTATTAGATTTTGCTAGTATCTGAACCGAATGGATTTTTAACTTATAGGGGCTTGCACGTAGTGGATTTTGTTGAGAAACAATGGGTCCCAGTCTTCAATTTTTGCTTATCGATTATACATGTCGACCCGGACATGACACGATTAATAATCAAATCAGGTTAGAATCAAGACTTTTGATACAATCAATTAAAAATATCGGATTAGGATTGCCTATTACTTGGCATGAACCCGAATTAACATGATTCGAACATGCCACACGATTCAATTGCCGCCCCTAATAGATAACCCCAAGGACACCTTCGGCATCAGAAGTGTTTATTCCAAAGGGTCCCTGCATCTAAGATTTGTAGCCAGCAAAACAGAATGTTATGCACAAAAGGTGCTATGTTCACAACGTTTTTTGATTTTCAGATATTTTCTCCAGATAAAATTAAGGTCCAATTAACTAACCCCTTCAAAATGAGGAAAAAAGGGTCTCCTATGCTGTATGAGCAGAATTGACATAATGCCATTGAACAAAATCTGCAAGATACATTCACACTCTCGCACATTCAGGCTGATCCCAGCACCAAACTTTGACATAGGTGTGTAGTTATTTGCTCAGCGGAGGACAGCATCAGAATCTTTATTACTATTTTACTTAATCATTTTGGAGCAGAATTCTCAATCCACTTTTAGTTTAATGTATAAGTGGAAATACAAATGGTGGTCACCTTAAGAAGCAAAACAAAGCCATTATGCAAATAATGTAAATGCATTCCATTTCTTATGTACCATCAAACACAGTTGCAGCACCAAACTTCAAGGTAGGTGTGTAGCCATTTGCTCTGAAAATATAAAATCTGGACTTTTTATGGTTTTTATTTACAATTTTTTTGGGGAGTGCAAGTAATAGCGTTGAATTTTCAAAACGTTTTCACAGATGAGTGGAGATGGAAAAGGCTATTACCTTGAGAGAAGCATCGAGAAAGTAATCAAATACCACTTGGCATTTCCGAGGTCCCAGTGGAAGTACTAGATTGGTGTCCATCCAGGGCCCATACCTAAATCCAAAAGGAGAGGCTCAAGATGTCAGCTATTGATTTATTAGCAAACTTAGATTAATAGAAAAGAAGAATAACACTTAAATTAAATCATCAGGACATCTGATGACAAAGCAGCAACCTATTGATCATGAAATTCGGATAAATGAAAGCATAAAGAGCTTTCGATCCAAGCCGATCAAAATCCTCTTCACTTTCCACTTGATCACCATCACATCTTTGGATGCTCACCTTCTCAAACATCTGTTCCGCTAAAAGTAATGAGTTACATAAGAAAGAGAACCCTCGTAGAATAATATAACAGAAAGCAAGCACTTGAAAAATCTTTTCCAAAGTAAAGTTAAGATAACGTGCATGAACATAGCAGTACCTAAGCTGCTGTCAGAAGCACAATACTGTGGTTTGTAACATTTTAGTACAGGTTAATTACGAGTAACACCAGAAAAAGTGAATTAAGTAGTGAGCATACTGTGGTAGAGTAGGACTCTAGCTTAAGGCCAGATGCAAGGCCTTTATGTGCATATGGTACATGATAGCCACCATCTAAGTAGTTGTCACAAAACACCTGCAAGAGGAAGTTGCACAATTTGTCAGAGATCATTGGAAATGTCTATCTTAACTACATATATGCAATGAATATCAATGGATGGTAATATGTGAGCTACTCATTTTTTACAATTTGATACCAACCACTATCCAGAAGTGAGGGAAATACAAATCTACAATTTACAGCAAAGATTAAAAAGCCCAGAACCATATGCGTTCCTTATCAAAAGCGATTTCATCAAAACAATGAGCCAAAGGCCAAAAATAATCTGTGATTTAGGACACCAAAAAAAGTTCTGAAATGAAACCTGAAAGACCATACCTTCCAGTTACATTCAATGGTATATTCACGTCTGCAAACATAACTCAATGAGGAATCTACTCCTTTGGTACTCAGTATTTCTGATGAGCTACCAAGCCATTCATTTCCTACGGTGTTGCTATCAGGTTCTTCTTGAGGCACAATCTCTTTCTCCAAATTCAGAAGAACAAATGGCCCCCAAATAGCTACTTTCAATGGAATAAGTCCAAACTCCTATTGCAGACAAATCACCCGAATTATCCCTCCATATGCAAAACCCAACACAAAAATGGGAATGAGATTGCTACCACAATATATTTACCACATACATGCACATCGAAGTTCTTGATTCCTGTTATTCTGGTAGCCTTGATAAGTGCTCCGTCCAACCCATATGTCCATGCCTACAAGAACGAGATTTATTTTTTTGGATTATAGTTTCCAGGAAAGGGAAAAAAAAAAAAAAAAAAAAGGAACCTTGTTCAAGCTCTGAAGTATTTCCCATTTCTACAGTTTCTGCAGCAGATCATATATCTGCTTAGTCATAACATACAAATGCTGGAACAATATCCTGTTGGACTCAACTATGAGACAGCATAAGCTTAAGTACATACTATATATCACTAACCTTATCCTTCTATATTATCACATTTTACCATTGTTCAAACGAACAAGCAATCTATCCCATCAATGAAAAAAATCCAAAATAACTAAGATGATTCAACTTTATTGAACAGATGTGAGCAAAAAACTGGTATTCTCATTATTAGTTGGATAAAGAGAGCATAATAAAGGTCCAAATTCCAAACATTAATTCATATTGACCAATATAAATAAATCAGTCAAAACCTAGTTAATAGATGATGTAGAACAAGATTAGCAGTTTTCTATTTTTATTGTTTAGGATACCGGAAATATTTTATTTTATTCTAGAGTGATCTAGTTGCCTAATCCATGTCAATTTTTCTAATTCTATTAAACTTGTGTGCTATTTGTTTTAAATAACTTTCCTTAGACTAGAGATTTAGGTCCATTTTGAAAAACTTTAGGGGTTCGAGATTCCTATAAATTGCGATATGTACTACGAGTTTTATTCAATCAATTCAATAATACATCTTTTCAGAGAGTTTCTCATATTCTACTTGTGGATTCTGGGTGCTTTCTTTGTGTCCCCCATTTACTGCTATGTCAACTAGTATTAGAGACTTGATTGACTTGACATAATTTTTAATTCACGAAGTGGTGATAACTTTTTATGTGACGGTAATTATGGGAGAGGAGTTCTTTTGGGAGCCAAATTCTTGGATTTTCAACAACAATTTCAGCAGATCTAGCACTATTTGCAAAATTGCGGACTATGGTTGATGAGTTAATGTTGGGTCCGAACAAAGATCCCACCCGAGAAAGGCTACAGAATGGCAAGAGGACTTTTGTTCAACCTATTCGAGATCAGAATCCTATCCATCCTATGAAACAAAATGTTCGTGGTACATTTCCTGGAGTAACACTTATTATAGATTCTAATGATGTTGAAGGACATGGTGTGTATCGATCTATGAGGCAACAAAAGGAGTTTGGATTGAAAAGATCAACTCGATGTCCAAATAAAAAAGATATTGAAGACAAAGAAGAATGTGAGTAGACTTATAGTGATATCGGAGAGCCTCTTGAATCTTATTCGGGAGAGTATGGGGTTGAAGAAAAACATCACGACATCACACGAGATAAAACAGTCCAAGTTAACAAGTCACAAGAAACAACGATCGTGACCGAAATTAACACAGATGCGATGGAATCAACAACCCAAAATTGGGAGGCACAACAAACAAACCTTGGTGTGGCTTGGTTCCAAGGCTGTACCCACAAGCATTTAGTCCAAGCACATTGATGGAGTTGGTCACTAAGAAGAGTGGTACGATGGAATATACCAATATCATCATACAATTTTCTTACATTTTGCAATCTTGTGAACCTAAGCAAGAGTCATTAATATATGCACACCAAAGGATTGGTATGAAAATGTTTGAATTTACAATGAAAATTGACATATTTATTAATTCTTTAACTAGAGGATCCGGATTGATACTATTTGAAGAGCTTGGACTTTATCATTGTTTTTAGTAATTTCTCTAAGACACGGAAATAACCTCTCTACTTACAGGGATAAGACTGCGTACATCTAACCCTTCCCAAACCACACAATGACGGGAGTCCCGTATACTAGATATATTTTTTACAGGCTTTGACGCAACGATAAAATTTCTGCATGTGACTTGAACGTCACGGGTTCAAGTCACAGAAAAGCCTCTCTACTTGCAAGAGGTAATGTTGCATACATCTAACCTTACTCAGACCCGCAATGGCGGGAACCACATGCATTGGGTACACCCTTTAGTAACTTCCCTAAAACTAAGAATTGAGGTCTGCTTTTGAAATCTTTAGAGGTTTGAAGATTCTTATAAATTGTCTTATGTACTACGAGTTACCATTCAATTAATTCAATAATACACCTTTTCAAAGAGTCTCTCTTATTCTTCCTGTAGATTACCGCTTCTTCAATAGAGGTCATCTGTTGTCCACGGTAGAATGCTTCGATGTTGAGCATAAGACAGAATCACATACTTGACAGCATCCCCTTCGTGTAAAAACCTACCAAAGATATATTAAATCTACATCTTCAACACCCTCGATTGTCAGGCAACAACACTAAACCCGCAGCCATTTCAGTCAAAATCTAGTTAGCAGCTACAATTAAGTGTATGTATCAAGCTCAAATATTGCCATGGTATGGTTGTCATAATATTTTCTTGTCAACCACCCTTTAACCTTGTTATGTAGGCCTCTCGGAAAAAAACCGATAATTGTAATGACAAAGAACTTAGCCATTTTTCATGTTCTTTATAACAAGATGCATGAAAGACTTAAAAAGGCCATTTGGATGCATTGAAATATCATTTGGCATCAATAAATTTGAAATCCAAATGTAATTGTCCATGTCTTTGCTTTACTATGAATGTAAATCCATTCAATTACAGTAAACTGAAGTGGATTGCTGTATAACAAACATTCCTAAAACATACCACCTTTGCAAATCGAAATGTGCAAACTAGGAATCACCCTAGAGTTTTAAGAGCCAAGTAATGCATGAACTCACATGATAAGGGCATACAAAACAAGATTTTTTCCCACTTCCAAAGGAAAGAATAGAAGCATGATGGCGACACACGTTGTGAAATGCATGTATTTTGCCGTTGTCATCACGGCATACCACATATTCCACATTTCCCAACCTGCTACATATCACTAGTTAGCTACTTCCATATCATAAAACATTAGTATGCACATTTACGCAATAATTGCTAAAGGAATACAAATGCAATCAACAATCACAAAAATTACCTGCCAGTGAAAAAATCATGAGGTTCTTTAATCTGTTCAGCATATCCTAACAACAACAATCAAAGCAATAATGAACATAACAGTCAATGCCTATCTAAACCAATATTAGGCGACATTGGAAGCAAAGGAAAACAAACGAGAATTTTTCAAAATGACATGCTTTCTCTTGTTTACCAGTTCATTATGCAATTTCTACATTCTTGATCATAAAGATTGCCCACAAACACATACACTCAAATATATATCAATATTATACACGCACGCAAACAGACACACATACATATGTGTATAGAGAGGGAGGGGGGAAAGTAGTAATCGATACATACCAACAGCCTGCCAACCCCTGTAGAAGACACGATCGACTTCAAGAGAGAAGAAAGAAGGGTCAGTGTACCATGAGCTTGGTGGGGTTAAAGCTTCTTGAATTGGGATTTGGGGGTTGAATTCATGGACCAATGTGAGAGCTTGATGTGAAGTGTCGCATGATGAAGATGATGATGAAGACGACAATGAATGGTTGATGGGTTTGGAGGAATTGAAGATTGAATTGAGAGATGGTCTTGAACTGGGAAATGGGTTTCTGGGTTCTTTGAATTTAGGGGCTAGTGAGAAGTGGTGATGAGAGATTGGTTTCAGCAGCATCGCCATGGCGGGTGTTACTATGCGCGCTCTCTCCTCTCTCTGTGGCTTTTGGGTTTCAGTTAAAAACTCCGGGGTTGAAATGATATTGCTCTTAAATGCTGTCCTAAATTTCAATTAACCTCTTTAATTTGTCTCATTGTTGTCATTTTATTTAACTTTTAATGTACAATTAGAAAATATTTTTTAAATAAACAGTAGGTTAGTTTAAAAAAATAGTATATTTAGCTATTATTCGTAAAATTGATCTAGATATATCTTTTGTATATAGATCATCCATTTTTAATACATGCATATATTAAGATCGAGTTATTTAACTTTGAACTTTATCATCCGAAGGAATTCGGTGATTTAAAGCTCATTGCATACGTTTGGAAGTCATACTCAACTAAAAGTTTAAGTTAGTGAGTCAATCAGTTATACATTAAGATATTTTTATTTTTTTTTATATTCAATGTGGGATTGATACATGTAATACCAAATAATCTCTTCCTCATGTGGATCACATCAAGCTTAGCTCTCCTTTGAGTTTGATTCACCGCTCTCCACAAGTCCACTCTTCAAAGAACTAAACTTTAAGAGCTCTTTATCAGTTACAACATTACCACTCTATGAGTGGCGGACTTAGTTCTTGTGTTTGATTCTAGAGGCGTAACTTGAGCGAGCCAACCCGAATTCAACTTAAAAAAAAATAGAACTTTGAGTTATAATTTTTAGTATTTTTGTTAAATTTAGGCAAAAAAATTTTAACTTGAATTAAATTTTGGCTAACCTCGGGTTGAGGTCTTAAGTTATCGGATTGAACCCGAATATACATAAATATATAAATATATTTAAATAGGGTTAATATTTACCTTCATTCTTCAGAGTCTAGACTTTCACATACTTTACTTCAAGTCTTCATTTCTGCGTCTCCATCATTCTAAGATCCCTCTCTCACTCGTCACTCGTTTCTCATTTAGTCTTAAACTCTCAGTTTCCTTCTCTCATTTGTTTGAGTTTTATTTCAAACTCTCAGCCTTTCTCTCTCACTTGTCATTCATATATCTTTTATTAACACGAATTAAGTAATCCGAGTCCAATACAATTTTTAACCAGAAAATCAGTCTGAATTAAGTAACTAGAATTCTACCTGAGTCCGCTCGAACTAAACTTGAGCAGTACTTAGGTTGAGGTCGAGTTAGTGTTAGAGTTACGGTCGAAAACAATATACCTATGGTTGAGTTAGGGTTGACTTCTCAACCCGCCCAACCTAGAGTAGTTACACCCTATTTGATTCAACATTCTCCATGAGCCCACCCTTTTAAGAACTAAACTTTAACTGCTTTTTATGAGTCACCGCATTACTGTTTTTTCAAGAGTTTTTTGCGCCAAGGCTTGCAACTTACTCTTTTTTTTCAAGTTGCGTTTTCACGATTTTAACACCAAGAGCTCGTCACTTTTCTTAAGAGTCATCATTGGTACCAGTTCGCTATACCACTTGTTCAAGAGTTCAACCAAGACTAAACATGTTAATCGAGTCAAGTGAGATAGAGTTCATGTCGGGTCTTAACAGGTTGTATAAAAAAAATTTCACATATACACAAATTGATTTATTAATTTGTGTTTAACTAATCGTGTCATATCGAGTTTATATCATATTATTGAGTCATGTCATGTATTTATTTTGATTAGTTTGCCTCATACATGAACTGCTTATTAATTATGTTGTATCAAATCCACTCATGTACAAAAATAAGTGGTTTAGGGAATAATCAAACTCATTGTTTTGTGTCCCGTCCATATCATGTTAACAAGATTGTGTCATATTTTGACATCTTTATCCAGGACTATCGGTCATTGGCTCTCGTACCATTTTGTTGGGAGACTAGAGAGTTCAATGATCCAAATTTCAATATATACTAGAAACTCGTATCAACCTAAAAACTTAACTCTATAGGTGGTGAGTCCATTTATTGTATTTTAAGATACTTTTATTTTTATTTTTTTCTATCCTACGTGGGATTCTTATTCATGTAAGGGCCAACAAAATATTTTTGTGTCCAACTTACTTCATCGTCATTGAGCAAAATGGTGATGGAATTGTCTTACATGTTTTAAAATATTTCTTGATTATTATTATTATTTAAACTAATGGTATTAAGATATAATTTAGAGACTTAATGCATTATCATCGTTAATAGATAGTGGATTCTAATATTAGATAAAAGTCCACTAAAAATCCAATGACAAATGACAATAATGCATTAAGTTTTCAAATTAAGAAATCTCTCCAATATATTTTTTTCCTATTTCTTTAATTACAAAGAAGAAAAATACAAAAAAGAAAAAAGAAAAAAGAAAAAAGATCAGAAGAACTTGATCCCTCGAGTTTGGTATAAAGGATATCATTATGGTGATGGTAATAAAAAAATTATTAGGGCATGTTTGTTTCGAGTATTATTTATGGGTGGTATTAGAAATGTATTCCTTACATTTCTAATACCAAGGAATATTAGTACCGGTAATAAAAATTATTTCAATCTCCTCTCATGTTTGTTTGTTTAATAAGTATTATGGTGGGTTCCACAAATAACCATCTATTATATCACATCTTATATAACAAATATATCATTTTACCCTTAACATCATCAATTTCATTTTACCCTTAACCATTTATACAAGGAAAAAATTAATTTTTTTAAAAAAAAAAACCAGTAAAATCATACACTTAAATATAATATAAGAAAAAAATTTAAAATAATTTTTTTAAAAAAACCGGTAACACCGTACGTTTAAACATAATATAAGAAAAAAATTCAAAATAATTAAAAAAAAATTAAAAAAAAAGTAGTAACTCCGTACTCTTAAACATCATATATAAGAAAAAAATTCCAAATAATTTTTTAAAAAAAAATTAAAAAAAAATCGGTGACACCATAGACTTAAACATAATATAAATAAAAAATTCAAAATAAATTTTTTATATATAAACTCTTAACAAATGAGGACATTTGTATCAATTTACATGTTTGTACCGTCCTTTCATTTAACCCATGAAAATAATACCACATGATAGGTGACATTCATTAATACCATCTACAAGACATTATGACTACAGTTTATACCGGATATTACGACTTAAAAAATAGTATTTATTGTAAAATGTTAAACAATCAAGATATAAGGTGGGTTCCACGTGCTATTTTCTTAATCTCATATTCTTATATAACTCTTATCCCCAAAACAAACTAGCGCTTAGTTTACAAAGTAGTAAAATGCTATTTTTATCAAATTTCTCATCTCACACTATGGCCCTATTATAGTATTAAATGAATTCATTATTATTTCATTAGTAATAACTCATTATGTTATTAAATTATGTCATAGTAATATTGCTTTTAAATAAGTAGATCCCACAAATATTTAACACGCATCTCCCTTTTTATAGATATATTTTCAACGAGACTTCCTATATTTTTAAAAAAAATTTAAGTATTAAAATTTGAGTTGATTAAAATTCAATTCGAGTTAATTAAAATTTATTTTTATGTATTAAAATTTGAATCGATTAAAAATTATATTTTTTTACTTATTGAAATTTTAGCTGATTAAAATTCTATTCAAGATTCAAATCAAATTTTAATCAACTCGCATTAAATTTTAATTGATCTGAATTTTGATACATAAAAAAATATAAATTTTAATCGACTCAAATTTTAATATATTAAAAATAAATTTTAATTAATTTGAATCGAATTTTAATAAATAAAAAAATATAAATTTATTTAACTCCAAGAGAATTTTAATTGAGGCTAACAACTCAAGTAGAGCTTAAATCGGTTCAAATTTTAATATACATAAAAAAAACTTTTAATAAGCTCGAATTTTAATCGACTCAAATTTTAATATGTAAAAAAATAAATTTTAATCGACTTGAATTTTAATCAAATTTTATATAGAAAGATTATTTGAGATTTATGTAGAGGTAATTTTAATGTTTTAGATAATTTATTCTTGTTATAAATGGTGGTTTAATAGTAGGAGGTGCCACTAATGTTTAAATATAAATTAGATGTAGTGTTAGTGATATTTTTTATAATAAAAGAAATGTCTTTAAAAATATGATAAATTAAAAGATGTGTATCTAAATTTTTCCATTACTTTTAACGAGTAAAGAAAAGATGCAATTGTTTCAAAGAAAAGATACAATCTCTCAACCATTGGACACAAAAGAACAAAGAAGAAGTAGAGTAATAGATGGATCCAAAGTCCAAAATGAAAAATAACCCAAACTCCCTTGATATATCCCCCACCCCCACCCCCACCCGGTCATCGTCCATAGAAGAGAATATTATTCTTCCATGCATGATCACAACCGACAAATGTCAAGGAAAAAAAAATGTTGTTCGTTGTTTGGCACCCAAGGGTCCTATTCCTATCATATTAGGGCCGTTTGATATTACATTTTTTTTTAAAAAAATTTTGATAATCTTTCAAGTATTTTGTAATTTATTTTTTTCAGGTTGTTCTTTGTTGGATCTTGATGGTGCACAAAAATGGTTTTGCATACCACTTGTCAAGTGTAGGTAATAAATGCAGTGAAATCAATGAGAAAATTAAAGAAGACACGATTTATAGTGGTTCGGTCAATTCGACCTACGTCCACTCTTCAATGGCTTCAGTTGTCGGGTATTTTATTAATTTAAAGGTATGGAGAATAGAGATACAAGCTTTGAGAGAATGGAAAATCAAAGAAGCAGTGGTCTCCGGTCGTCGATTTGTCCTCTGTAAGTGTTGGTGGGGCGTGCCATTTATAATAGTCTCATCACAGATTGGGGCTATTTTATAGCAGCTAAGAGATCATTCTTGTGGAGATCATGACTTATCCTCAAGGCTACTTTATCGCAGCTAAGAGATCATTTCTGGTGCAGATCATGACTTATACTCAAGTCTACTTTATAGCACTAAAAGATCATTCTGGTGGAGATCACGACTTATCCTCAACGGAAGGAGGAGATTGGGGAGCTCTTCATGAAACGCGGTCAAAGATTGGACCGT